ACCTTTATTATGACTGCAAAATTCCCTGCTCAGGGATAAATAATGCATGCTTTCTGTCAAGAGAGGCAAGAAGAACTCAAGCAAACACTGCAGCGGTGAGGGAGCAGCATCTTCGTCTCTGGAATGTGTTTTCTTTCCAACCCACTTCTCCCTACCTCTGCCCTCACCCCTGCCAGTCAGGGCAGGAAAACCCAGAAACAGGGGCTAACAGAGCTGAGGGTTGGAGCTCCAGCTTGCATTGAAAAAAAAAAGCATTGCATTGCTTACAGGGCTGAGGAATCGACTCTGTCGGTCAAGTGCATGTCTCAGAAACAAGAAGATCTGAGTTCATGTCCCCAGCATCCTTGGAACAGGCCAGGCACACACAAACTGTGCTAACAATTCCAGCACTTGGGAGTTGGAAACAAGCCTAGGGCTTGCTGGTCAGCCAGGCTAGCCAAATCAGCAAACTCACACAGGGTTCAGTGTGAGACCCTGTCTCAGAGCAGAAAGGTGAAGAAAAGTAGAAAAAGACACCCCTCTGGCCTACACATGCACACACAGGAGCATGTGTGACGTGCACGCACGCACACATACACAGACACACACAAACACACTTCATGGGGGATGCTTGCAGGTTAGATTGTTAGTAATGTTATCTTAGCCTTAGCCATATTCCTCTTCCCTCCCCTCTCAGGCCTTCATTGCAGAACACAGGTACATCTTGGCATTTCTTTATCCAAAGTTTGGCAAGGCTAGTTCATGGACATATGTGCATCGGAATGTTCTAACTACATTGTGGGAATGGACAGAAAGAAAGAAAGGAGGTCTATCCTGGCAAGTCATTTTGGCTCCAGACATCAATGGACAAGGGGCAAGGGGTGGAGTTGCTTATCATGGAGTCTAGCCTTACCTCTGAGCTAAGGCTTGACTTTGGGCTGGCTTCTACAGCTGCATGGGAATCAAAAGCCTCCTGGGTCACCGTGGGGTTGGAGGTTTGCCAAATCACAGCCCATGGCTCCTTGCAGTTACAGCAGGAATGGACGAAGGCGCAGCCTTGAGGATAAAGGCACAGCCTCGAATGCCAAGTTCAGCATTTAAATCAGAATCAACTTTGGCCCCGATTGCACGGGTGCCTGTTCTATTTCTTATTTATACCTGTACTTTGCTGAGGTGTGGGGGGACAATGACTGTTTTCTGTTTGATGACTTAAATAAGGACCCAGGTACTTCACCCTCAAATGTTTGGATCAGAAAATGAGATGGGAAAGAAAATGATTGTAGAGCAAAGACGCCAGCTTGGCTCCTGTGTCTGTGGGAGGAAGTCGGAGGCAGTAACAGAAATGAAGTTTGGGAACTGTTTGCTCATTTACACATTGTCTCAGACTCCCCAATTACACACCTAATTAAGAGTTGGACAATTAAACGCACAGTTTAAATGTATGATCAGGGAGTTTGGGATTAACACCCAGATCAGGGAAGAGGCACATCTGAGCCTTGAAAGAAAACGTGGGAAGGACTGTTCCTGTGCGGTTATCTTTCAGAGCTCAAGTTGTGGCTGCTCTGCTATGGATATCTGTTACCTTCTAGACATTTCTTCCAGTAACCCACATCTCACCGTCTCTAAAAGCACTAAATGTCATGAATGGAAGAGTAAGAATGGAGAGTGCAAGAAGGGAGCCAGCTGCTTACATTCGGTCCAGGGCTGGCCAGGCCTGGAGGCACCCAGCTTAGCTTCTTTCTCTATCCCAGCCTTGGTTCTTTTGTAGATCTCACCCTGGGCAGCTGTGAGGATTGATGGTGCTTGTGTGTTCACATGCTCTTGAGAAGGTGTGCATGCAAGTCAATGTTGGATGTCTTCCTCTATTACCCTCCACTTTATTTCTGGAGGTAGGTTTCTATTATAGTCAGTTTGATTCTGTTGGCTGACCAATGAGCTCCAGGGATCACTCTGTCCCCACATCCCTGGTGCTGGGATTACAGACTTGTGTAGCTTCTTACATGGATGCTGAGAATCTTAACCGAGATCCTCATGCAGGCTTGGGCAGCACCTTACTGACTGAGCCATCTCTCCAGATTCAAGGGATGGAGTTACTCCGACTCACCAGACACCCTCTGCCTTTTGGCCTATAGGACGATGCTCAGTGGTTGCATCAAAGCCCTGGAATGGCTTTCCTATAGATACTCAATGGATTTTTGTAATCACTGAAAATCTTTTCTTGCCCTTGTCTCATCAGGTGTTTCAGAATTACTAGATCACAAAACAAATGGGGCGAGAGGGGAACCAACTTGCTTTGTGTGAAGGACCTGTGGCAGAGCTGTGTGAAAATGGAGGTAACCTGTTGGCCAGGCTGAGGAAATTGAAAGCCTCAGGGTTTTTCATGAGAGCCAGGAAAATCCTTGACTCCAGATGCGAAGGGTGTTGGAGAACATGCTCAGGAGTAGCCCAGGGAAAGCTGTATGATCATCTTCTCCCATAGTTGCTTCCAATTAGATGTAACCTTGTCATCTCCATGGCAACCCAGGAGCTTCATGGGTTTCATTGAGCCATTGCTTAGGGAGATATGGAGGAACCAGATGGGCTAGGTAGGTGCAGAGGCTGGGATATAAGAGTCTGCAAAGTTTTATCCCTAACTAAGGTTGTCATCAACTTGGATGCGGCAGTGTAAGGAGCAGCTATTCACTTATGACCTCGAGGCTTTGGTGCTGGTCCTGAGTCACAGAGATCCACGATGCGTCAGGAGGTCTCCATGTCTCAGCTTCCTACTGTAACCTGTGGACCCACAGGTCTCCTGGCTCTCCTGACTGATGAGGGATGTCCTTCTGTATGCTGGGAATATATGTTTCTCTTATTAGTTGATGAATCAAGCTGTCTTGGCCAATGGAGAGGCAGGATTTAGCTAGGCATGAAATCCAAACAGGGATAGAGATGTAGCTCCCAGGAAGGTAGAATGTCCCGCATTCTCCAATAAGATAAGGCCATGTGGAGATACACAGATCAATAGTTATGGGCTAATAATTAAGAGAGAGCTAGCCAGTAAGAAGCCTAAGCCAATGGCCAAACAATTATGAATAGATATTAAGTCTCAGAGTGGATATTTCAATAGCGGCTGCAGGAACCTGATTGGGTGGAGGAAAAAGGAGAAAATCTCAGCACCCGACTGGCCCTCTGTGAGTTTCTCCCCAAGACACCAGCAGGGGGCAGGTTGGATGCCAGGACGAGTGAGAAATTGTTCTTTCCTTTGCTACTGGAAATGGAATGGAAGGAGTAGTAGGTATGCGTGCTCAGAGGGATGTCTACCTTCTTGCTCTGCAGTTTTGACCTTCAGTTCTTTCATCAGCAAAGTAGAGGCGGTAGCTCTGCATTCATTGTTTTTCCTCATTACCAATTAAAATACCCAACCAAAACAGCGCATACAAGAAAGACCTTATTGTAGTTCTTATTGTAGCCATCTATGATGGTTAAGAAGGCTTGGCTATAGGAGGAGGGGGCAGATGGTCACATTACATATGCAGTCCAAAAGTAGAGCTGCAGATAGGAAGCTTGCTGTAGAAACTTCAAGGCCCACCCCCAGTGAACCACTTCTTGCAGTGAGGCTCCATCTCCTAAATGTTCCACAATCTTACAAAACAGCATGACCAACTCGAGGCCAAGTGTTCAAACACAAGAACCTATGTGAGGCATTTTGTGTTCAAAGCACAAGAGCTGCCTTCACTGGGCTGTCTCGGAATACATGGGTGGCTGGATGGGGGACAGAAATGTCATGTACAAGACCTTCTGCAACTAGACAGCTGAATCAGTGCATGTTTTCCTGCCAGGGTTGCTAAGATTCTTGTCCTCTTCTGTCATTAGACATGAAGTTCCTTGAGGGGAGAAGCCTGGATCTATCTAGCGTCAAATGTCACAGTGCTCAGCCTGGAGCCTGTAAGGGAGGGAATTCTTCTCCCTGAGTGCAGAAGGAATAGATTCAGCATGCATGATGTGCGTTCTTGGAAATAAATATATGAACGTCCTGCCTTTCCTGCTGACCACATCATAGCTAATCACCGTTAGAGATGAAGGCTTTGGGGACTTGATGATTTTTGAAAACTATATTCAAGGTTAAATTATGAGTCAAGCCAAGAGTGTAAACTTCTGGAAGCAATTTCCTCATATTTTAACCATTGCTTGGTCCTGGCCACTGTACTTGTGTGAATCCCAGGAAGCCCTCCCCTTCTGTGATCCTAAAACACTCCAGTCATGACCACATTCTTGCCACAGCTTCCAAGAAGGGAAACCAAGGTACATAGTGAAGTTTCAATGGATATACCTCAGAACTTGTATATTCAATGGGAATTGACTAGAAAGTGGGGGATGTTTGTCCTTGACCTACCAGTGCCTTTATATCCCAAATTCTGCGATGGTTCACAACTAATGTGTGAGGAATAGAAAAGTGGACTAATTTTGAAGTCTACCCTGCTTCTGCTTAATACCTGGGTTGTAACCTTCCCTAAGTGAAGAATGGAGTAAGTGGAGTGGAGGTGTGTGTGTGTGTGTGTGTGTGTGTGTGTGTGTGTGTGTGCATCAATGGGTGGGTGGATTAAAACTGTGCTTGTCTGCTCAGGGTTGCCATGTCCTTCATATGTCCTCTTAGCCATCTGCTCAGGTGCCTGGGATTTCTCTGTTCCTCCAGGCATTCCAGAATGGATTGACATCTAGTTAAGTAGCACAAATTCCACTGTACCTGGGGTGAAGCAGGGGTATGGGGCTCTACTTTGGAGTGTGAGCTTCCACAAGGCAGATGTTTTGTTTGCTTTGCGTTGTAGTTTTAATAAGTAAGCATGAGACACAACTGCAACCTTCAGGAACTTCCTCCAAGTGTCTCTGGGTAGGACAAGAGAACTACACTGGACAGGGACCTCTTTAGGGTGTGGTCCCGTTCTTCCACATGGAGGTAGTGACAGGGCTTTGCATGTTGCTAGAGGGCCATGGATGCTTGCAGGAGCTGCTGTTCTCTCTGCTGTTCTCTCTCTCATCTGCAGGGATCTGGATGTGGATCAACTTGCAAAGGGATCCTGTAGACAGGCATGACAGAAAGTGGACAAGAGGACCACCCTGACCCCAGAGACATGAGGTGAGCAAGGGAGCAGAGTGGTGGGGTCATCGTCATCGGGACTCATGGACAGGAGAAAAGAGGTCAAATGAGCTTCTGTGAGATGGAGAGTGTCTCAGTCATTGGTTCCCCTCACATCCTGTACAGAACTAGGGATGACTTCAAAGTATGCTTATTAGTGTTCTTGGAGAACCTTGTACCCAAACTGATCTTAGCAGCCCTGGTACAGCCTAGGTTCTGCAATGGTGCCCCTGACTGTACCACATACATGAGACCATTCTTCAACTGTGGCCTCTGGTGTGATGGGGAGCATTACATTTAGAGTGTAAAGAAAGAGCCTTGATACTAAAAAGCTAGAGTGACTGGGAGGTCCTTGGATAAGCAGCAAGGATGGGGAGATGGAAAACTAAATTAAGGTCAAGAATGAAGGGGATCCTGGGATTTGTGCTAATTAGGATGCAAGCCTTGAGTGTTTCATTTAATAGTAACAAAATACATGGCTACAATGACATCTTTAATTAATAAAATGGCTCATATCAGTTACAAAACGTGCATAGTGGAGAATACCACTCCATGAAGTCAAACATTGTCAAATGAAAAGGATGGCTGGCTGGACGAGGGAACAGAATTAAGTCTTATAACCCCCACACTCTGATGGAACCTTGCATGTTAGGCAATGTGTTCCTCCTCACAAGTTGGAGAATACCCTTAGCTTTTGGCTGCACATGATCCCTTAAGGACCCTTCTCCAATAGCAAATAGGAAACAGCATTTGAACCCAGAGCCAATTGCCAAACCCAGGCTGGCCCCTCTCCATGCCAGATGGGAGTCTTCCTAAAGTAGAGTGACCATGGATGCTTTGGCCATGACTCCTGCAGTGAACATGGTGCACATGAGAGTGGGTTACTCCAAAACTGGGCCAAAAGAAGCCTTTACAGAGGGATGCATCTGCTTTTCTTCAGAGAGTTGTTGTGATGGTGATGGGAGACAGTACTGAGCCTCTGCCAGCAATGCCTATGGGTGCAGTGAATTATGACAGCCTGCTATTGGGGTGGGGAGGGGATAAAGAAAAGCAGGCCAAAGACACGGATTGGGAGACAGAAGAGGGGGAAAGACTGGCAGTGGAGTGAGGGAAGAGGGGAGAAAAGGGAGACTCGTGAGCAAATAGATGCATTATTTTGCTGAAATATGAGATGCACATGGTGATATTGCAAGGAGCTCTGCCAAAATCACATGAGGTTAATTATTTTGACCTCCATTTCTGGCTCTCACACTTGACTGAGGGCATCTTCAACTGGCAATGACACTACTGCCCTCAATAACATGTGCGCACTGACTAATGATCTCTCTGGAGCGCAGCTGTAGCTCGGGAAGCAAGCAGGCTTTGCGGCAAAGGCCCCAGCATAATTGCTGCAGTTCCTTGTCCACTTAGGCAAGAAACCCAAAGAATGCTGTTGTTGTGTTTTATTGTTTTCAAGGGCCTGTGGTTCACCTTGGAGTATCAGAAAATATGTGACCATTGGCAGCTGGTTTGTGCAGAATCCCTGGTTACGCTGAGCCTCGAGGACTGTGACTGTCTTATGTACCTGTTGCCCGTGGGGCCTGGAAAAGGAAAAAAATCATGGGGGTGTTAGAATAGAAGCAAGACAATGCATGCCACATGCCACACGCTACATGCCACATGCCACACGCCACATGTCACAGCTCCATTGTTTTTGAAGCTATTGTTTTCCTTTCTTAGCTTTGAGCCTGTCTAATGTATTAAACTTTTTTTTTTTCTCCCACATGCAAGCCATCAAGTTTCCTGTCCTCAGTGAGCTTGGAGTTAGTAAACCAATTCTGAAGGAGAGGTAGGCATGCTGACACTGTAGGCCTGACTTTGTCATCTCTTCTGTTTCTGAATGAGCATTTCTATGTACATGAAAGACTGTAATGGGTGGCAATTTCGGGAAGCCAGGAGCCACAAATAGGGTTCACTTTCAGCCTCATGCACTAATTCAACAAATGTTGGTTGTGCCTCCATGTAACAGGTGTTTCTGCTGGTGAGTCTTACTGTGAGCCAGTGTGGGACAGGAAAAGGACCTAGAGTTTTACTCTGAGATGGGGAAAATCACAACCTTGCCCGGCATTCACCCGTTTCCTCTTCAGACAAGCAAGTCCCTTACATCTTCTCCATTTCCCTGGCCACCGTATCACACTCAGTAGTGATTCTCACAGGTGTGAATTTCTGAGACTCAGGACAACCATCCACTATTTTCTAACTCTGGGAATTCTGTGAAAACCACAAGCTAGAGACTTCCCTCCCATGATCCTCAGGGACCTTGACTCTCCGGGGAGGTTCACAAGATTCCCGGGACTTGCTCTTCAAGAGAAAATGGGCATGAAGCAGCTGAAGCCCAGGGGCCTTATGGAGACTGTCCGTTCTGAAAGCGAAGTGTGAGTCCTCTGGGAAGAAGCAGATCCTTTATGACTAACATCAACACAAATCATTTTGAGTGGTTTATACACCTGTGTGCATGGAGGTGCACAAATGTGCACATGGGTGTACAGGCCACAGGACAGCCTCAGTGCCATTACTCAGGAGCCATCTTGTGTTCTGAGACTCTCACCATACTGAGACATGCCAAGAAGGCTAGGCTGGCTGGCCAGAGCCCCCAGGGTCTACTTCTGCCTCCAAGTGCTGGGATTCGGAGCACACTCCCGCACACGCCAACCTGTGCATTCCTTTACATATTATTGAGTGCGGCTTCTGGGAATTAAACCAGGGTCCTCGTGCCTGTAAGCACTTTACCTACTGAGATGTCACCAGCTTCAAGGGACATTCCCTCACCACAGAGAGAGTGAAGAATCAGCACTTTGTGGCCTGGAAGACCTTCAATGCTTAGGAAGCTGTAAATGTTCATGGTAATGTTCCCACCCATCTCTGGGGTGGGGGAAGCTCCTGAAACCATCCTTGAGTTCCTTTTGTCCCCTGGGGCCTTATGTGCACCTAGGCTCGTGAATATTTGAATTCCCTTTCTCATTTGTCCCTAATTCTTGACTAACTAAACTTTTCCCATTGTTCTTGGATATTGAGACAGGGAACACTGGGTCAGATGGGAGTAAAGATCATAGGCCCATAAAGCAGGAGCTCTTATCACCATTATAAGGATGCTATCTTACAGTCACCAAGTGTTTTTAATCCCAGGCTGACTTTGACCTTACAGTGTGGCCAAAGATGACCTTGACTTCTGATCTTCATGCCTCCAGCCCTGGAGTGCTGGGATTACATGTGCGTGGCACCACACCAGTTTATGTGGTGCTGGGAAAGGAACCTTGGGCTGTGAATGTTGGGCAAGCTGTCTACAGACTGAGCGATGTCCCCAGTTACCAAACTTCACATGGCTTGTTCTTGGTGCTTTATGCATGTCAACACATCACATCTCCTATCAGTGCTTTGAGGTTTGGGACTGCTGCAGTCGGTTTTTACAGGTGAGCAAAAGAAGGTGTAGTCGGATTAAACAGCAAGCTTCAGGTCACCAAGTTGGTTTTGTTGGGCTCAGGATTTGCACTCATCTCACACCATTGCTCTTGCTCTCTTTCCCATAAATACCTGGGCCTCAGAAGGCACAGGGTGCAGAGTGGCTTATTTTTACCAGCAGTTTATCTCCATAGTAGAAGTGCCATGAGTTTGTTATTTCCCCTCTTTAAACCTGGATCCCTGCATTTTTTGTTGTTTTTTTTTGGGGGGGGCGGGGAACAGAGTTGATGGAATGGGTATCTATATATCTATCTACATATATTTAGAGGGGATTTATTAGAGAGGCTTAGAGGCTATGGTCCAGGTAGTCGAACAAGGGCTGTCTCGTAATGGAAAGGCCAACGACTGGGTAGTTGTTCAATCCACCCGACTAGACATCTCAGCAGTTCCAATCTGGTGCTGGAGTCCTGGGGGATTCTTAAGGAGCTGCTTGTCCGCAGTCTACATTGGGATCCTGAAGAAATAGGTTCTAACAACAGCAAAGGAATGCCCCCCAAAACAGGGTAGATGAACTTGCCAGTGAGAGTGAGGGCACGCAGGCAAAAAGCACAAGCTTCCGTCTTCCACATCCTTTTATGTGGGCAGCCTACAGAAGGTATGTCCCAGATTTAGTGTGGGTCTTTCCACTTCAATTGATCAATCAAGAAAATCCCTTACAGGCAAGTCCAGCTCCTTGGAGATTAGTTAATTCCAGATATACTCAAATTGATAACCAAGATTAAGCATCACAGACTTCTTTCTGAAAAAAATGTACAGAATAACTGCCCAGCGTCGTACATGATTGCTCTCCAGTATAAGGTTGATCTACTTATCTCTGTGAGATCCATCTACACAAAGGACCCCAGACATCATTTCAATGGCACGGAGGTCACAGAACCCACAAGTACACACTGAAAACTGGAGCTGCCCATGGGGAGTCTGCCTCCTCGTCACGGGATGGCATGACATACACTGTTCCTTTAAGGGACACGGTGAATGTTGTGTTTTTAGGTGGCAGCCTCCCCATGTTTTCCCAGCAAAGTTAATGAAATGTCACTGGTGCACTGCATTCACCTCCCGTCTCTCACACAGCCGGGCTGGCAAGTCCACGTGCTCTCCTTTGATCTATTTTTATACCACCACATAATAATTCATCCTCCTAAATATATCCATCATCCTGGATTTGCATTTTTTTATTAAGTCGCCTGCCTGCCTCCCATCATTTAATCAGTGTTGACTCGACTCAGAAAGCGGCCTGACAAGATGTGAATCCAAGTCTAGCCTCTGGTAGTTTGTCTGCTCTGTAACTTGGGGTGATCTTCTCCTATCAGTCCAGGTCTCAGTGTGCTCATGTGTAAAATGGGGCAGGCCCTGCAGGGAAAGATGGTTGTGTGACTCATGAGGGCACTGTAGTTGTCAGGGATTGCTACTGTTAAGGGTTCATCTTTCTATGGGGTGTGTGTGTGTGTGTGTGTGTGTGTGTGTGTGTGTGTTGTGCATGTGTATGTGTATGTATGTACATATGTGTGGAGGCTGGAGGTCAACTTTAGATGATGTCATTCTGCAGGAGCCATCCACCTCATCTTTTGAGGCAGGTTTCTCACTGGCCTGGAACTTGCCAATGCAGCTAGGCTGGATGGCCAGTGAGATCTCATGAACCCATCTCCCTATGTCTACTGAGCTCCGAAATTATAAGAACCTGTCAGGAGGCCCAGCTTTTTATGTGTTCTGTGGGCTAGAACTCAGGTCCTCAAGCTTGCATGATGAACTATGAACTGTCTTCCCCAGCCCAGTACCTGGGGGCTCACTGAGCATCCTCTGGCAAGACAGGAACACAGCAAGATCATGTGAAACAGACTGACCCTGCCCAGCCCTTCCAAGACTAAGCCTTGAACCCAGATTTAATTTACACCCTTCTCAGTTAGAGAAGGGGTAACTGCATACTATGAATAATGATTTTACACACAGCCCTGGGCTATGTGAGAGTTCATGTCCTCAGTGGTTCCCATCTGGTGGTGATGCTGCCTCCAGGGGACACTATTTTATTGGCACAACTGGGGCAGTGGGCAGAGGAACTAGGAAACAAGGAGGACCCCAAGAGAAGATTGCAGAGTCCTTCAAAGAAGGGGATGGGGACAAGAACCCCTGGACAAATTGGAGCCAGGGGGCAGGGAAAGGAAGGAGAGTCTTCATCCAGTTGCTGTTCGAAGCAGAAACAGACACCCATAGGTAAGCACTGAACCATACTACTGGAATTCAGTTGTGGAGAGGGAGGAGGGTTGAGCAAAGGAGCCAAGACGGGGATGGAGAGACCTGCAGGAACAGTGGACCTGACCTACTGATAGAATGGAGATCCTAGTCATAAAGCTTGGGAAACAGCATTGGACCAAACCAAACTCTCTGAATGTGGGTACCAGCTAGGAGCCCAAGACAGTCTATGGCTCCTCTGACAGCAGAGCCAGTCTTTATCCCTAGAGCACAAATGGACTTGGGAGCCCATTTCTTATGGAGGGATACTGTTACAGCCCAGATACAGCAAGAAGGGTCTAGACCCTCACCCAAACAATATGACAGACTTTGAAGGTCCTTGGTAGAGGGCCTCACTATCCTTGGAGAGGAGTCAGGGCGGGGGTGTTGGGTGGGGAACATGGGAGGAGGGGAGGGAGATGGAATGGGGGGATGGATAAGTAAATATGAGTAATTAAAAATAATAAAAAATTTAAAAACAACTGGGGCAGTGAGGTGTGAACACTATTGTCATCTGCAGCAGAAAGGTGCTGTGAAACTCCTGGCAATGCATCAGTATCCCCCCACAGCACAGACTTAGCCAGGCCAGCCCCAAGTATTAATAGAGCTGAGGTAGGGAAATTCTCACTGACTGACATGAAACGAATAGACACTTACCACAGTTATCGGTACTTGAGTGTCAACCTTGAATGAAGCTGATGATGTCTGGACACAATGACAGAACACTCTACTGTCACTCACAGGAGTGGGATGGGATGGCAGATGTTCTTCTGAGTCCCCTTGCTCTTGCTCATATACTGCTCTATTGCACACCTGTGCTCAAGTGTGATATTCTGGTTTGTTTACCCAACTGGCAGTGGGTTAGCATGCAAAGCATTTGCCTGACTCCTCTCTCGTCTCTCACTGTTTAGTGTTGCGGCTACACAAGGGACATGTTCCATCACTCTCACTGAAATCAGCCCTATCACAGAGGTGGCTAGTGGCTTGGTTTCTGAGTGTGTTCATGGGGTGGTGGAAATATAGAGATGTAGGGGTCCAGTGTTTAAGGCTTTAGTGGAGGCACTGAAGAGTGACAGGATAATGAGGTTCATTCCCTAGTCCAGGCTCCAACCCTCACAGAACACGTTAAAAATGAAGGAGTGACTGTCTCTGGGTCAGACCCTGTGAGAGTGACTATTCTCAGAACCTCTCAAGGCCATCCCCAAATATCTGCCAGAGCCTACAGGCATCCTATCACCCCTGGGTTTTGGGAGGAGACAGGAATCCATCTAGATACAGGTAAAATCTGGACTAGCTTTGCAAACATGCTTTGAGGAGTGTTACGTCCCAACAGAGCACTTGATACACCAGCATTGCTTTGTAAGGTGCAAATGTCCAGTGCAATGTTTCCCCAGCCACCTCAGTTACCCTTGAAACTGATTGTGAGAGAAACCTTTGTTCCTTTCCCCTGGCACCTAGTTGTACCTTGAGTTCTGAATGTTTAAATTCGACCACCCTCTGATCTCATGTTTGTGCTGGATCTGGGACTGTGCACTGCCCACCCAATTTTGCATGGAGCTAGGGTGGAGAACAAAGCAGGTTCCCAAGCACACTAGGTGGAGCTCATCCTCCAGATCCTCCTTTCCATGGTAGCAACTGCAATGGTGGTGTTAACAACATCTTCCATGGACTGAACTTTTAGTAGATGCCCAGTGTTCTTCCCACCTTAGCTGCTTACACCTCCCATCATTCCTCTGAGGACGTTGGGGCTGTCCCTGTCTCTATCTTACAGATGAGCAAAACAAGGCTGCGTGAAACATGACCAACGTGTGTGTTGGGTCCTGGATGTGAACCCATTGATTTCTGCCCTCAGGCCCTGACCCTTACCCACACACTCCAGGCTTCCAAGGGCACAGGGAAGCAGCATGAGTCAGCCACCATGGACTCTTACCTGACATGCATGCCCACACCAGTATTGGGGCTGTGGTCACATTACTTCACCCCTTTAAGCCTGGTCTGCTTGTTTGTGAAAAGGGCAAAATGTGTGCATAGCCCTGGAATATACACCTCCTGATGTATATAGATTCCCTTCCCTCCGTTGGATCTGACCTGCAGAGAACTGAGTAGCACGTCTCAATGACATGGCTCCCAAAAGCCACAGCCCCATGTACACAGCGTATTGGACAATGAGATGATGTTCTTTCCCTCCTGGCCCCTTTCTACACTGCTGGAGCAAAGGGTTCAAACCCAAACTAGTAAGCTGTAAATCCTTAGTAGCTAGCTCCATCACTTCATCAGACTTGAAGCAAGGACACACATCACATGCATCCCTCTGTGTCAGGGGCAGGGGCAGGGCAGGATGATTATTTCACCCCCCAGGACCTCAACAATGCTCTTTAGCTATGGCTCCCCTTATTGTGACAGACCCAGAGACACCGTGAAAAGGACAGTGTTGTCTTTGGCCAGGTCCTGGAGCTGGCTAAGACATCCATTTCCAATTGTCTCCCTCCCCAGTGTTTCCTATTGATCTCATTGGCTTCCCCTCCCTAGAGCTGTGTCCTCTTGTTATTGCTAGGTCCCCAGGTATTCTCAAATCAAAGCTTTGTGGAGCACATCTGAGTGGGTGTGAGGCGGACAGCAGCAGAGTACTAACAACCTGAAGTCCAGAATGGGGGAACTGGGATTGGTACTTAGAGTCCCTCACCTCTCTGAGCCACCCAGTCCTTCTGCTATGGAAGCCAGATGTGATAGAGGCCAGCGCCTCACCCAAGAGGTAAAACATCCTCACAAAAATAGAGATCGTACTTTTGGTTGTTTTTTATTTAATATTTATTTATCATGTATACAGTATTCTGGCATATATGCCTACATGTCAGAAGAGGGCACCAAACCTCATTATAGATGGTTGTGAGCCATGATGTCATTGCTGAGAATTGAACTCACAACCTCTGGGAGAGCTGCCAGTGCTCTTAACCTCTGA